CCTCCGGTCCCCCGCTCCCTTCCCCTCCCCCACCACCCACTCCTGGGCCGGCAACTGGAGGCCGGGTCCCTTCCCCCCCCAGTCACTCCAGGGCCAGCAACGGGATGCAGAGGCCTCCGGCCGCCGCCGCCATTCCCCCACCCCCTCCCACCTTCACCCACTACTGTTTACCTTACCACCATCCAGCCTATGTGTTCATTACAGACCACATCTTTCTAGATCCCGTTGTATCGGTTTCACAACGGGCTTTTCTGCTAGTTCTTTACATATTCCAAGTTAGTCTGGATCTAGCAGACAGCTTCTTTTCTTGATAGACAGTGCACAGTTAAGCACGGAATTGTTTATTGTGCTGCTCTCACAACACCATAATGGTCCCAGGCAACAAACGGGGCAATCTACAACCTGGCTGAGCCAGACAGACGGGGAATGCAGACCAGACCCAGGACTGATCTCAGGAGGACATGCCGGGGGTGGGGGCTCTCACCTTAATGTCAAGGTGCAGGATGCCACGATGGTGGAGGTAGCTGATGCCCTCCAGGACTTGGCGCATATAGGAGCGTATCTGCAGGGGAAATAATCCAGAGGAAAAGTCATAGTCATAATCAAAAGAGACCTCATTAGCGTCACATATACTGACTAGGAAAAACTGGAGCCCTCCCCCAACTGTCATTACCATGAATGCCTCTGCTATATTTCCTTAGACCACCTACAACCCCTGCCTGAAAAACTCAATCTAGACGATGAGCAGATGATGAGCCTGCAGGGGCACTCACTTCAGATTCGCTCACAGAGGGCTTCCTTGCTATCCGCTCCAGCAGTTCTTCTCCAGTGCAGCTGCACACTCTGTCAAGGAAAAGAGCGTGCCCAAGGAAGCGACGGCACTCTCCAGTCTTGTGCATACTACAGGACTCTGAATGTGTGCTTGCACTGGTTCTTACTCATGTTGTTTGTTTCTTAATGGTGGCTAGGTGGACTGTTCTTGCTGGTCTTATTATGGTTTATGACAGATTAATCTATTGAAACTGTGGGGGGGAAGGATTTGGATATTTATCGTATATTAATCTACGTAAGGTACCCCAAGAAACCTTTGGGCTGAGAGACAGGATGAAAGCAAAGAAATAACTCCACAGACCAAGGCCCAAGGTCTTGTCTCTCCCTACGAGGTCCCACAGACAGAGGATACAGCTCCATGACAATGATGATGGCATTCCTCTTCTCAAAAGCATCGTGAAAGTAGACGATACGCTCGTGGTCCAGCTGAGCTAGGATGCCAAGTTCACGGCGTGCTGATTTCTTGGCTTTGGCACGGCAGGGGATGAACTTGGCCGCAAAGGCCAAACCAGAGCTCTTCTGAGTCACTCTCCGCACATATGAGAAGGCTCCCCTGGAACACGGCACAGACCATTGGGTGAGAAATCAGACTCCTTACTTCTCTGCTCAGCTGCCTGAAACGAAGTCACCTCACCCCTGCCTTGATGTTGACCCAGCTGGCCAAAAGGAAGGGGAGGGTGCGCAACAGTGAATTCTCCCGTGCAGGTGGTAGTGTGCTGGGAAAGTGAGGTGCATTTGTCTGGAGAAAAGGCTCATCCCTGAACACCCTCTATTCCTCACAAAGACTCTCTTTCTCACCATGAGCTGATGGAGAGGATGCCACTGAAGAGACTTTTCCCAATGTACCACATTAGCTGTTGGTAAAGGAGAGGGTCTGCCACAAAGATGCACAAGTGATCCGATGGGCAGCTCTACATCTCATGCAGATATAGTGGCCTAATGTGGAATTGCTGCCACAATCACCAGTCAAGTCACCTTATTGGGTGAAGCATCACCCATAGCTGTGGGAATACAGGCAAGTCCAGCTCTTGTTGGTGTTCCCCATGCAGGGTGACTGATAGGCATCTCAACGTACTCATATTTGTACACATAGAAAGGCAGGGAAGGGATACCACCACTGTCTCTATGTGTAAATTCCCCACATCTGTGGCTGCAGATTTCCTGTGCTGAGCACCTGACAGATCCAGGGATCCATAAGCTGCATGTCCCATGATATGGCCCATCACTGAATTCGTGTTTGACAATCTCACTCTAACTCCCACACATATCCTCCCACAGCAAGATGTACAGTAATTTCTTTGCAGATAGTGGGCCAATCTCCCCCCCCCCAATGTCCTAGCCCAGAATAGTCATCACCGATATTATTCTTCCCCATGGAGGACTCGTCCTTCCCACCTATTACCTGCTGATCTCCTCATGTACATCATAATAGTCAGCCAGGCGACGGGTTGTGTGTGATTCTTCTTCTGTCCGTGCAGCATCAGCATCTGGTACAGCTGGAGAGCAACAGGGAGTGGGGGTAACAGAAATGAAGAATATTTACAGGACAAGTCCTGCACCACCTGCCCCCTGCCATTTACAGTGACTAATGCACCTTTATATTTACTGGATCTGAACTGCCATTTACAGTGACTAATGCACCTTTAGAGCTGACTCCGAACAAATTGTGTTGCTATGATGTGATGAATTCCATGACTCCTCAATAGGAACTCAACTATCAGGGATTCTGGGGATTGAACAACGAACCTCATGATATGAGGCTGAGACATAGCTTAATGAGCTACTTTGGTCTGGGTGTAATTGAGCTTCAGAGATTTTCAAAACTAATAGGAATCTGCAATAAAGGCAGTATGACTGGCAGTATGAAACTCTGGACTGGGCAGGGATAAATACAAAAGTTTGGTGTAGTGGTTAAGTGCGCGGACTCTAATCTGGGAGAACCGGGTTTGATTCCCCACTCCTCCACTTGCACCTGCTGATGCGACCTTGGGTCAGTCACAAGCTCTGGCACAGCTGTTCCTGAAAAATAGCAGTTTGTGTCAGAGTTCTCTCAGCCCCACCCACCTCACAGGGTGTCTGTTGTGGGTAGGGGAAGGGAGAGGAGTTTGTAAACCGCTCTGAGACTCCAAGTGAAGGGCGGGGTATAAATCCAATCTCTTCTCTTCTTCTTCTAATCCATATACTACATACATGGGGCTGACATACCGCTATTGCAAGAGCAGTAGGGATACACATTTGTTTATAAAATAATAAAAATGGGGGGGGGATCACATTGGTTATTGTCATAATTATTAGGAAACTAATAGGAAAACTAAAGACATTCATTACTATATGTCATTCTTGCTGTCTAGTTTAGAGAGTTCAGGCAGAGTTCAAACGGGGAGAGAGTCAGAGATAACAAAACTGACAGGGATTTATTTATTTTTTGGTAGTTCCATTATCCAATATGTTCCCCCAGCTGGGTTACACTGAGACCTGTACTGCTTAGGGCTGTAAGTATAACACATACCTGGACGAACCACAAGCTCAGCCTTGCAAGACACTTCTCCAGCCAGGTTGCGTGCAGTGCATGTATAGACTCCGCTGTCTTGCTCTGTGGTGTTCAGGACAACCAGTGAGCATTCACTCTCTTCATACACGAAGCTCAGATGGTTGCTCTCAGTTAAGAGTACCTCATCCTATAGGGGATGTTTCATTAAGACAAATCACTCACAGGCATAAAGTTAAAGGAAAGATCTTTTATTGTGTTTTATTATATGGTCGATCTTGAGACCCCTGCCCAAGGCTTCCTAATCCTTTCTCCCAAATTCTTCCCCCTTTAGAACCTCTCCATTTAGTTCCATTACTCTTGATGCAATCTTGACAGTCCTTACCTGGGCCTTCCTGCCTTGGACAGCCCCTTGGACCTCAATGCTGCTGTTGACTGGTCAGAACTATCCGGCAGCAGCCCAGGAGGATGCAAGAGATGATCCTACACGTGTGCTTGGCCACTGGCCAGATCCGAGCCAAGGAGCCCCGCACAGGGGCCAATCAGCTCGGAGTCAGCTGGCCACGGCATCGCAGGGCAGGATGAGTCAGTCTGTGCTCGTCAGTGCTGGATCTGAACTGAGATCCTCTCCCTGGGCCGTTCAGTCTGGCAGTTTCTAGGGCCATTTCAATAGCCCAGTGCTATCTTGGATACAGGGGAGATTATGTCATACAAGCCCTGAAATACTTTCCACAACTCTGTGCCTGGCAGAGTAATTGGATAGCCTGTTGATCAGCATCAAAGTAGAGAATGTGCATGACCACTTCCAAGGATACTCCTAATTAGATCACAGCTGGCCAAAAAAAATTAGAGTAAGAATGGGATAAGACTGATGAGCATTAGCACCACGGAGAGGCATGGCCAAGACACAGGGGATCCAAAGGGTAGAACTGAGGGGCAGTGAGAGGGTGGGCATGGCAAGAAGTCGTACACGGAAGCTTAAAGTGTCCCTCAGGCCCAGGAAGCCCTGGACTTGGGCCCACACTCACCTTATACCACATGATGTCAGGAAGAGGTTTGCCCTCTACCACCACAGCAAACTGTGGTGTCTCACCCATCCCAACTTCAATGTCTTCCATGATTGATTCGAAGCAGGGTGCCTCTATTGAAACAGAGGAAGATCCATTCAGGTCCCTAAACCACTGAGTAAATGATCCAGCCTAGCTAACAATAGTTGCCTAGCCTGCTTCCTCTCATGGAGATCTCCAGTACTCTCCTAGTCTTATACAAAAGCCTTGGCTGCACCACCCCAAAGTGGCAGAAGCTTCTGTGCTGACAGACTGTCAGGGCCAGCCCGAGGTGTTACTGAGCCCTAGCCGAGGCCTCCTTGTGGCGCCTGAGCCCCCCAGGCGATGCCAACCTCCCGGTGGGGCCTGGAGACCGGAGGGGAAGGGGAGGGCACTGCCATTGCTCCTGCAGGCAAGCGTCGCCCAGAGACCAGGGGGGGGGAGGTCAAAGAGTTTTAAGATCCCTGTCCATCCGAGGGCTGTTTGGCCCACCGACGTCCAGCTTGGAAAGCCACCTGTGGGATCCCCCGCCGCAGCTGCTCCAGCCGCTGAGGACATCCCGGGCACGGGGCCGGGGGGCAAGGAGGAGGCGCTGCCGATGGGGCGAGCCCGCGGCAATGTCGGCTGGAGCCGGGGGGCCCAGCGCAGCTCCCTGGCCCTCCTCCTCCTCCGATGCCTCCTCCGCCACTGCCAGCACCCTGCAGGAGAGCCACCGCCACAGGTGGCAGTCCCGGTGGCGGTGGCGGGGAGGGCGAGGAGGAGGGGGGAGGCATAGTTTGGCGCCAGCTGCAGCCCATGGGAAGGACATCCCGGGCGTGGGGCGAGCCCGAGCCGACATTGGCCGGAGCCAGGGGGCTGAGCAGCGAGATGGCACCCAGAGGGAGAGCGCAGCTCCCCAGCCCTCCTCCTCCGCCACCAGCGCCCTGCAGGAGTTCCACCGGTGGCGGTCCCAGCGGGGAAGGCACGGGGGGAGGCACAGTTCGGCGCCAGCTGCGGCCCGCAGGAAGGACATCCCGGGTGCGGGGTGGTGGGGCGAGCCTGCGCCGACGTCGGCCAGAGCCGGGGGGGCTGAGCAGCAAGACGGCGCCAGGAGGGAGAGTGCAGCTCCCCGGCCCTCCTCCTCTGCCACCGCCCTGCAGGAGAGCCACCGGTGGCGGTCCCGGCGACTGTGGCAGGGGGGGCGCGGAGGGCGCAGAGGGGGGAGGCACATTTCGGTGCCAGCACCCTGCAGGAGAACAGTTTGGCACCCTAAGGGCCAGCCTGCGAATGCCTAGTTTGCCTAGCGGGTGAGCTGGCCCTGCAGACTGTGCACTCTCATGATGCATGTGTGCCTGAAGGAATGGCTGAAAAGCACATGAAACAGAAAACTTGCTGAAGCTCAGCAGGTCTGGATCTGGCCAGCACCTAGATGGCAGGCCTCCCTGGGAACTTAATATTCACCACCCCAAGTCCCATGGTGGAAAAAATGTTCGGATATAGATCAAATAAATAAATAAAGATTGTGGCTTGTGTAAAAAGTCTTGCTCACTGATTATGAGAAGGCTTGAGGTGAATAGGTGAGTCTCTAACTCCATAGATAAGGATTTGGAGCAGGCTCCTTTAGGGGACTCCTTGTTCTCAGAGCCAAGACTAAGCATGCAGGCGGAAGGGGGGTGGGGTTCTGAGCATCCCATACCTGCCAGCTCCAAGCTGATGAAGCAGTGGTCATACCCATGCTGGTTGCTCACCTCGCAGGTCAGTTCCCCCACATCCCCCTTGCCAACCTGGAAGAACCGCAGTGAATGCTGGTCATCGTCAGGCATGCTCATCTCCCAGTTGGGGTCACCATCTTTTATCACCACACCAGACCTGGGAGAGATGGAGAAGAAAAGGATGGAGGGGAAAGCCAAGAATGGCTGTCACTGTACTTCCTGGTGCTGCAATCCCTGCATAGCCATCTGCTGTTTGCTGCTTTGCATTACTAGTAAGAAGGAGGGAGGCTATGGGGAAAAGATCAATGAAATCACAAACAAATCTGTAGTTAAAGCACGTGAATTAAATGCAACAATAATGATATAGAAAGCAAAGTCAATAATAATGCCAAATTCATATATACATTATTGTAGAATCACAAACATAATAAAGAGGAGGAGGAGGAGGAGGAGATTGGATTTATACCCCGCCCTTCACTTGGAGTCTCAGAGCGGCTTACAAACTCCTTTCCCTTCCCCGCCCCACAACAGACACCCTGGGAGGTGGGTGGGGCTGAGAGCTCTGACACAAACTGCTCTTTTTCAAGAACAGCTGTGCCAGAGCTTGTGACTGACCCAAGGTCACATCAACAGGTGCAAGTGGAGGAGTGGGGAATCAAACCCGGTTCTCCCAGATTAGAGTCCGCGCACTTAACCACTACACCAAACTGGCCCTGAAGAGCAATTATTCAAAAGTGAGTGGTAACAAACTCAACCCCACAATAAGTCACAGCATATCTCAAAAGAGACACTCAGCTCAGGTTCCTGTAGCAACACAGCGGCTGCGGAGAATGGCTTTTACAAAATACAGGTGAGTTAAAAAGGGGTTGGAATGCCACCGTGGGGGGGGGGGAAGGGTTCCTTCCTCCCCCCCCCAAGCCATTTTCTTGAGCCACAACAGCAATGGGGCGAGCTATTTCACCTTTCTTGCTGCTCCACATGCACAGAATACTCCCCATGGAGCAGCAAAAATGGGGCCTGTTTTGGCTCTCCTTTATTTTTAATAGCTATTCCCTGCAGCTGCTGTGTGGCTGAGGAGAAGCTGAGTTGGGTCTGGGTTCTTTTAAAGCTCTTTTAAAACTCTTTAAAACATGAATGTGTAGATCCCTTCAGGGATATTGAATTTAAAATTTTGAATTAGATCATTGTAACTCACCCTGAATAAAAGCAAAATGCAGACCGATTTCACCCAAGAGCTGCCTCAAAAAACAGGATCACGAAACCGCGGGGGAAATCGGGCGAAGCCGCAGGTCAAAATGCGGCCGCGCAGCTTCAAGTGGGAATTTGACCAATAGAAGCGGGGCAAAGGGAGGTGCGACCACGGCACAGCTCTTGTGTGAAATCGGTCGCAGACATAGCCAAGAGCTCTCTCTGCAGCCTGCTCTGGGGCATAGTTCTCTCCGTCCCTCCCCAAGCACAGGCAACAGCTGACATCATGACAAGTCATAACTGTCCCTTTAATACCACTTTAATTTGGCATTGTACCCAACAACATGCCAGGGGGATAGTGAGCTGGATATAGGAGTGTTTCTTGGGGTTGTCCTACCTTCTCCAGATGACAGCCGCCTCTGCGTGGTTGAGGGTTACAGTGATGCAGATGGGTTGCCCTTCTACGGCATAGACCACATCTGGTTTGTCCAGGATCATGGGGGCCTCTTCTAGGTACGGGCCTGCAAGCACAGCCACCACAGCAATCAATTGGCAGGGGGAAGATGGGATTTCCAATGATCCCTTTCTGGCTAGATTCTCTGGGAGATCATTGATCTGGGATCCTGACATGGGTGATTTTTTCCAGAGGTTGTTCCTGCATATTTACTGATCTGTTGCATTTAATGAGTGTGGCAGAATTTGGGGTTCAATGAGCCTGGGCCTATGCTATGTAGGTTTTGCTATATCTGACTTTGGTTTCTTGGTCCAGAAATCCCATAAACCTTTGCTGTTTTGCTGGCAGCCTAGGCATAAAAACGAAAGCCTTACCATACCTTTGCCTGGATTCACATTTCATGGCCTTCAAAGCGTAAACATGTCTGTCTAGGTCTTTTTGACATTGCAGTTAATAAACTATATCTAGGTGAAAGTTCATACTAGCAGAAGTTCATCTTAAGATGGGCTGGTATTTAGTAAGTTTGGTATATTTTAATTAACTCCTCCTTTGATTCCTATTGGTTGATTTTAAAAAGGAGGCTTTGGGCTTTGTTCAGGGCTGCTTGGCCAACACCCCACCTGGGCTTGAGTGGGGTCCTGGACTGGTCCACAGTCCAGGAATACCTTGTTCTTTCTGAAGTGTACACTATATCAGGTACTGGGATTTTTCTATATGCTATTGGGTACCGATGTTAAATATATGCTTCTGAGTTTTACTTGTGTATGCTTTTAGAGTTAATACTTTCATTTTAAGGCAACTGTTCTCGCTGTGTTTCTTTTCTTTCCCGCTGGATGCCTGAGTTCCCTAGCCAGACTCCACCCACCCATAGAAAAGAACCCTAATGGGGTTGGGGATCCCTGGAAGAGGCCTGGACCCCTAAAATTCCCCTACAGTGAGTAGGCCATACCTCTAGAACTATGGTAAACTTTTTGCTAAATGGGCTTTAATATGCATTCTACCACAATGAGCTCAGCATGAGATCACCTTGGAAGATGGTGTGGAAGCTTCAGTTAGTAAAAAATGTGACAGCAGGTTAATGACTTAAGTGGTATTTACAGAACCACTTACTCCCATATGAGTCAGCATAAGAACATAAGAGATGCCAATGTCAAACAGTCTCTCAAACTCCCAAAACTCTACTCTGACAGGTGTAGATACTCAGTCTAACCTCTCTCTCTCATCTATATAGCCACACAGGCTCTTTGTCTTATTCACACAGAATAGACTCGAAACTCATATTCACAAAGACTAAACTGTTTGTTTTATTCACACAGAATAGACTGAAAAACTCCCACAGTCACACAGACTAAGCTCTCTCTTCAAACTTTACACTCAGAATCCCCCTCCTAGACACCCCTCCTCCCACACTCTCAGTCATCAGCCAATCACATCACACTTGTGTCCCTCTATCACTCTTCTTACATTACTGCAGTCAAACTAAACATTTAAAGAAACACACACACCAAAACATGAAATCATTACAGAAGGCGTTTATGGCCGCTTGCCATGGGATCTGGACAAATGATGACAAGGGTTGGACTTTTAATCTTTTGTACTATAACTTAAGTAAACTCCAAAGACTTATTATTAAAATAGTGTAGAAAGGAGCAAGAGGTTAAAAATGCAACATTTTCTTCTCTCATGATTCCTCTGATGCAAATCACCCACTTTGGAGGGCACTTTGCAAATAATAATAATAATAATAAAGTGGGCCATTTGGGTTTATTTTAAACATGGCAGCGGCAGCAGCATAATATATAGTTTGCCCCTTAGGCTTCCTTGCCTCCACTCACATCTCCTTTCACGTCTTTTCTTTCTCATACCATCAGATACCGCTCAGGAGACCAGACTACAACACACAAATAAACTGTCCTTGGGCCTGACCTTTTCTTCCCATCCACCACAGTAATTGCTTGTGGTGTCATTTACCCTCAGTTGTAACTGGAGGGGAGGGCTGCTTCCCTTCCATTTCCCTCCTCCCAATCACTTCCACCTTTCCCCTTTCTCGACTGTGATGCCGTCTTACCACGGTCAAGGAGCTGCACAGGGTCACTGGGAGGAGAGGGCTTGCTGTTGGCTTTGGCTGTTGTCGTCAGGACACGGAACAAGTACCGGATACCTTTGGTCAGAGCCAGAATGGTATAGCTGGTTTCACGCACGCCCGTAGCAAAAACAGTCCAGTGGCTGGTGCCCAGGATCTGCTGCTGGAGGGTGTAAGTGACAGAGGCAGGATCTGTAGAGAAGAAGAGGGGTACTCCAATACTAAGCCAAGGAGGGTCTGGACAATGTGCTCACAGTTAGGACTTCGTTGCCATCAGGGGTCGTTTCATAGAAAAAGAGCTAGGGGAACTCATTAGCATATGCCACACCCCCTGACACCACCGGAAGTGTGTCATAAGGCCACACCCCCTGAATGTGCTCGCCCACTTCGGGAGAGGGGATGCCCGCTTCGGGAGAGGGGATCAAAGTGTAATACAAGCCTCCTCCGAGACTTGATCACACCAATCTCAACTCTCTCTTGGGTCTTGATGCCTGCCAGTCATTCCCCCTGCCTGGGGGAAGCCACAATGGACCAAAATACTGTCCAAACTGCTGTAAGGAACACCCGCCCACTCTGAGCAGTCACAGGGTGTGTCAAATCGCCATTTTATCCCGGCTGGAAGCAGGGGACGAGGCTTTGTCATGTGCCCCGCCCCCTGCCCCTCCCCCGGGGGAACGGCGATCCCCCACGATCCCCCCCGAATCGACCCCTGGTTGCCATACTTGACTCCCTGTTCTGCCCCTCTGCAAATCAGCACTTCAGTGGTGGAGCAATGGAAAATTTCAGCCTATAGGATCAGCTGACAACGCCTCTTGTTCTGCCCCTGATGCTACATGACCTCTTTGCTTATAGCTTCGTTAACAATCCCTTTATTGGATGTCATTTTCTCAGTAGAAACAATAGCCAGGGCTGTGTTTGTATGCTGTGATTCTATAGGGAAAGTGTGGAACGTGGTCTTGGGCACAAAAATATTCTATAATTTGGTGAAGAATCAAACTAGTTTCTAGTCTTTATGGCTGTGGAGGTATAGTTGGGAGAACGGAGGCTCTGCCTACTGCAATTTCCGAACCAAGAAAAGCAGCTGAATAAGATTTCTGGTGGTCAAGAATGAGTCATGAGTGACCTGCACGGTCCCTTCCAATGATGAGCTGAATGAGAAGAAAAAGATGTAGAGCACTGCAGAATGAGTTGTATATAACAAAGGAAATTGTGTGGCTTCACTTTAATCAGAATGATTTATACAGGTTGCAGGATTCTATTTTGCTGGGTGAGAATTTAAATTTTTTTTAAGTGAAGAGGACAGCCCTGACAATGACCAGCCAGTGGTAATATGAATACACTTTCCAATTAAGTTATGCAAATGTGTAATGCCTCTTTATCTGCCAGCAGTATATAGACTTAGTGGTTTGAACAAAATGCCAATGGCAGCTATTGATCTATTTGCAATCAAAGCACCACACTGTGCACACACCAGTCCACCACACACACCCAATGTCTTCTCCCTCTCTTTTGTGTGCGTGTGCACACAAACACACACACAGGCCATCCTGGCCCTGCTTACCAATAGTGGAGTCCAGCCACTTGGGCTTGTTCCATTGCAGTGTGACAGCTCGGCCAGTGATAGTAGCTATGGTGGGTGGCCCATCTGGGGGAGTAGGTACCACATCTACAAAAGCCAGACATAGGGGCAGAACATTTGTGGTGATCAAGATCTGAGCATGACAATTGGTTGCAGCTTCCTGTTGAATGTATATTGGTGGCAAATTCAGGTTTGCTGCCATTTAATGTGGAAATGGCATTGAAATTGCACACGCTAGTGTTCTAGTGATGTGGCAGCAGCTCTGTTGTCTGCCTTTTTTGCACTTGGGTCTCTACATGAAAGAGTCATTCTCTGTCCCTGTTCCCACTCATAGCCACAGGGTAGCAACGCATATCCCCCCCTATACAACCCCCCCCTAAAACCTGGGAGCAGCCAATGAAGTTGATGGACATAGTTTCAGGATGGACAAAAAGAAGTACTTTTTGACCCAATAAATACATTGTAGAATTTACTGGAAGTGGATGCAATTATGGCCATCATTATGAAGTAGATCAGACTGATTCATGGAGATTAGGTCCATCAATGGCTACTAGCCATAATTACTAAAGGAGGCCTCCCTGTCCAAAGGCAGTAACTCCCTGTATCCTAGTGCTAGGAGCTGACAGCAGGGGAAGGCCTTGGCCTCTATGCTCTGTCTGTTGGTCCTCCAGGATTGACCACTGTATGAACCAGGATACTGAGCTAGACGGATCACTGATCTGATCTCGCAGGGCCCTTCTCATGTTTTTATGTTATATTCTTACAGAAGATGGTGCCTTGACACAGGCACTTGTGACATCTTTCATTCCACACCCATGCTGTTCTGGAGGACAACAATAAAAAACGTTAGAGTGATATTCCCTACATCTGAGAAGGTGGATACGCAGGCAGTGCATGCTGGTGCTGAATAGTTCTCTACTCCCACAAGTCCTTACCTGTGACATAGAGGTGTGCATAGCAGGTGGCCTTGCCCACTTTGTTGGCAATGACGCTTTTATAAACCCCAGCATGGGCATGGCTGACAGAAACGAAAACCAAGCGGTGTACATCCTTGTCTACAAGGGACAGTGGAGGATGGGAGAATGGGAGGGAGGGAGGGAGGGAGGAAGGGAGGGACAGAGAATGGTGTTACAATCTAACTTTTGAGGAAAAGCCAACTGGAGCAGAGAGACACCGGCATGCTGCTAAGGGGGGTGTGGTACAGTAGGGGGTTTTTTACAGATGCTGTCATAAGATCATTCGTTCTCACAGATAGATGTGGGTGGGGATGACTGTCGGGGCACGGGTTCCAAGTTGCACTCCTGCCTACCAGGATCCCAGTTCCTCTCAGGGGTGACCCTACCAGGGAGCCAGATGAAGTAGCCGCCACAGACAATGGTTCTGGAGTGCCATCGAGGGGGTCACAGATGAAAACAGATCTATCTGATCCACTGGGAAGTTCTCATGCTGACGCCTCACTGAACTAAATGGGGACTGCTCAAGAGCCCGGCTCCTGCCCCCTTTCGTGGAACTTGCAGGGGAAAATGTCTGGTGGAATGCTCCCAACTTAATTATCGAAGGGTGGTACCATTTGGATAGTCCACATCAAGCGTTAGTGTGTTATGGGTTGGCCCTGCCTTCTCTCAGTTGGGACTGTGGGAGAGTGACTGAGTAGGTGGCCCAAGCACCAGCGGGTGCTCTTGTATGCCGGTTCCCATATGTACATGGGAAACCCAAAGGATGAGGCATACACTGCATCATTCTTCGGTCATCTGTGCTCTCAACGCGCCGGCCATTGTGGAACCAGGTGATGGAAGGGTAGGGTAGCCCAGCCACTTGACACTCTAGAACAGCCTCCTTGGATTCTACCACGTCCAGGTCATGCAGTGGCCGCAAGAAGTCAGGCATGGTGAAACGCTCGACTTCACTCTCTCCTTGTTCTGGCTCCTCCGGAATAGATGGCATCTTCTCCAGCTTGGAGCTGCCAGGAGAAAGGAACAGAAGAAGGATCTAAACTGCAGCATGTAGCCCAGCCACGGACCTGTCCCACTCACAGGGTTCCCACTGCCTACATAGTGTGGTCAAAACTACAGGTACAATAATCCACCCCTACCCTCTGGGCACAGGAAAAGCCAGTTCCCTGAGTAGACCATGACCATGCTTCACAGGAGGCCACAGGCAAAGTTTTAAATAAAATATACACCAGAACTGGTAGAAAAGAAGTTTCCTGCCAATGCATCCCAGGATAAAATAGAACAAGGCAAAAGAATTTGGAAGCCCTTCCATGGTTAAGAATGGGAAATAAAACCTTCCAAATGGGACTATAAGAACATGAAACAGACTTGGATTATAATTATATAAAGTCATTGCAAGAAGACTATACCAGGACAGACTTATCCCGTAGGAGAAGAGTGGGCACTGGGCTGGGGAGAGTGTATCTCAGCCACTTTGGAAGCAAATACAAGTAACAAATAATACAGAACTCAACCAGGCAAAGTCAGCCATGGAATACATTTTTCACAGCTTTGCAAAGAAACAAATTTAATAATCTACTACAGGAAACCTGTCAACCCTGAACTACAGCCTATTTAAGCAGTAGGAAGGAATCAGGAAGGAATTTTCCTCCAGGCCAGATTGGCCCAGGGATCCTGGAAGTTTTTTGCCTTCCTTTGGGGATAGAGCAAGAATCACTGGGAGAGGGAGGGGGTAGTTGTGAATTTTCTGCACTGTGCAGAGGGTTGGACTAGATAACCCTTGGGGTCCCTTCTTTCCGTGTTTCTGTTCTACAGCTATAGCTGCTGCTGCTCCTGGTTGCATTAGATTTTGGAATATTGCTTAGAAGCCACAACACTGCAATCACTGTCCCTAGTTACAACAAATAACAATATTTGTCTTTAACAAAAACAGTGTTGCTGTGCAATCAAACAAACAATTGTCAGGATAATACTTTGTGTTGTCCTAGAAAGCCAAATAACTGTGTTTACACATCTGGGATATATGTAATTCTCTTTAACAAGTGATTAACTTTCCTGGTCCTTTCTGATGTTACATGTAATCAGTTCAATTGGCCTTAATATGAAATGTCTGTTTTGTTTTGCTAATGTCCCTGATTTTAAGCATGCTAATTATAGTAGCTCTTCATCAGACCATCTGTGCTCCAAAGAACATTTCCAAAACTTGGAACTGGATGACTCAACAGAGTCCCCGGAGGAAGACCGTGGTGCTTGAAAGCAAATCCAAGTCCAGAAGGGGCGCAAGTTAGCACTCTATCTGACCATGGTTCCCAAAGGTCCCCAAGACACCGTGTGCATGTAAGCTGCACAAGGCTCATTAGTGGGGCAAGAAGCCAAGACGTTCCACAGAACTGCCCATGGGTCTGGGGACAATGATGAGAGCGGCAGCCGGGCTTGGTTCTCATGACTCCCAGAGACAGGAGTGTCCTTCCCAAACAGAATCACTGTGTCTCTCTCTCATGAATAGGGAGGGGGACATGGCTACTGCTCATTTACAGGTGCCAGATCAGCATGTCTGAAACACGTTAAGTATTACATATGGACGATTTCTTTGTTTCTTAAGGCTGAGCTGGGGGTGGGGGAGAGAGATAACTGGGAAGCCAGAAACTAAAGGCAGCCCTCCCTCAAACATATTGACCTTCTAAAAAAAGTTTTAAATGGTTCAGATCTTTTTTTAAAAAATGGTTCAGATCTTTAATATACTTCAGAATAGGCTGCACCAAGGTGTGGTGTGAACTGAATCAGGAGTCCGTAGATACCCTGGCATAGTCAACGCAGCCCTGCCCTGAAGAGACTCCAAGGGCCCACAACACATCCAGCTGTACCCTGCCATTGAATGAGGCTGAAAAGCAATTGGCACAGTCAGCCCTCCCTCCCTCCCTCCCCTCCCTCCCTCCTTACACTCACATCTGGGAACTAGCCGCAGGGCGTGGCTCCTCCACATACAGCTCTGCGGTGCACTCAGCCCGGCCGTGCTTGTTGCTGGCACTCACCCCATACTGACCCTCATCCTCAGAGCTCACGTGTAGGAGGACCAATGAGTGCAGCCCCCCATCTTGCTGCAAGCGTGTGGTTTCCCCTTCTTGCACAGGCTGGCCTGCATCAGACATACAACAATAAGAGCCTGGCCCAGGAGAAATGCAAGCACATAGACGACTTGTATGACAGGGAGACCCCAACAGTCAGACAGGGCCTGGAATGGAGATCTCTGGCCTTTGGGAAGGGAAGGAGAGAGCCCAAGAGGAAGATGTGACTGCCTGGGGGTGAAATGCCCTTGCACACTGCCTGCAACCCCTTGAGGGAACCGTGGGCAACTGAGCCCTCCGCAGCCTTCTTTCTTTGGATTTCCAAGACTGCCATGAGCAAGAGAATAGCATCAGTTTTCAGTCAGGGCTCTTTTTGTAGAAAAAGCCCAGCAGGGACTCATTAGCATAACAGGCCACACCCAACAGCAGAAACTCATTAGCCTATTAGGCCACACCCCATGTCTTCCCTTGACTTGCCCAGGTGCCCCACGGCTGCGGGATGCCTGGCAAGCCGGTCCTTAAATGCCTCCCCGATCCTTCCAGGACTCCCCCGGCCCCCCCGCCTTGGGGTCACTCTCCAGGCCTTCCCTCTGTAGCCAGGCACGCAGAGGTTTTAGCTGTAGTGGGCGTGGCCAACTCTGAAGCCAGCCGGACCTCTGCTCCTGTGCGTTCCTGCCCAAAAATAGCCCTGAGTTTTCTTTATTATTGTTATTGTTATTGTTATTGTATTATTTATTATATTTATACCCCGCCCATCCTGCGAACAGGCTCAGGGCGGCTCACAAAAGCGGTACAAAGTACCTAGATACATAAAACCAATAAAACATTTAAAAATAAACATTTTTTTAAAAGTCTTTTGTATCTCCAGATTTCATTAGAAAGAATGGGGGCAATTACCAAAGTGAGTCCAGACGACAGTCGGTGGGGGTTCCCCACTAATCTTGCAGTCCAGCCGCGCAGTCCGTCCCTCCACCACGGCCACCGTTTCCAATTTGCGGGTGAAGAGAGGCTGGCGTGACGGCCACACTGTCAGCTTGGCACTGCAGGTCAGCTCATCTGTAAGTCACAGGGAATGGTCAGCTATCTGTACAAGGCCAGGGACACTCTTCTCCCCGCGGCCTTGACAAGTAGCTAACGGTTGGTGACCTGAACATGTCCTAGGGGCATGGTCACAATATTCCTCCTGGGTCCTAATATCCCTAGTTCTGCACTCAAGAGCAACCTGGCACACGGAACTGAAGCAGGCAAGACTTTTCTCATCACTGTATCTCCATGCTATGAAAAGGGTCATCCTACAAAAGTTCTGAAAGGCTTGTTTGTCTCCATGTAAGGCTCACACTACTATCTCATCACACATTGTGAAGTTTACAAGCTGGGCTTGGGTTTCCCCCCACCTTTTCAGAATACAACACAGTCACACATGGGTTGAGGACTGTCTTCACTTCCTGCACGTGTTAAGGTCTGATTAGAATCAGGAATATGGTCCTGTGGAGAAGGGGCTTCAGCCTTTACCCCTGCACCAGTTTCCCAGCCTGAAAGAGTCCCGAGTGGGTGCTATTGGGCCTGCTGGGGAAGCCTTGCGTGTCCCAAGGTTTCCACAAATAGCACCCCCCCCCCCAAGATTGTTTCAGGTCAGGGAAACAGCACGGAGAGGGAGGTTTAAGTCTTTTCTCCCTCCCTGCACACCTTTGTCCCAAGCTGAATTGGGCCTGCCCACACTGGGAGACACAGATTCCCAGAACTGTCAACACAACCTGGCAACGGAACTGAGGAAGGTGGGTCTGTGGTCAGGCCCCCTCAGCTATGAAACTCGCTGGATGACTTTTGGCCGGTCATTCACTTATAGGATTGTGATGAGGATAAAACGGAGGAAAGAAGAATCCTCTGAGCTTTTTGAAAGAACAGCGAGATGAAAACTCGATTTCCTAAAATGTACACATCTGCTATGACCGCAGCAGGTGGCATTAGATTAGCTTCTTTCTCTCAGCCACCCATGTACCATATGGATACAACACCAAATTAAATACATGAGTGGATCTCCCATCTTTAAAGCATAAATAGCCATGGGGAGAGGAGAAGATGCAGATCAGGACCATGGTGTGCTGTTTTTCCTGTGCTGTTTTCCTCAGCTCAGTTTCCCCACTGTGAGCTGCTGCTTGCCTGAAGAAGGCGGGGAAGCATAAAGCTCTGTATGGGTACCTCATTTTCATCTGCCACCAGTTAGCAGTTCTGGGGTCAGAACCAAGGACAGAAAAATGGCATGCGAGAACCCCTCCTCCCCATGTTATGGCCTCAGTCTAGCTTCCTGAGACTGCTGTGGGCACTTTTAAAAACCTAAAATCACACAGTTCGCCTACCACATAGGGCTGTGGTGAGGATAACCAAGACTAGGTACGTGAAGAGCAACAAACTGTGAAGCACTGTAGAAATGCTAAGTATTACCAGTATGGACCATGACCTGAAAGGGTATGTTTTGATGTATGTATACATACAAAGTGTACAACAGACAAAAATATGGACCCAGTTTTTTGGGAAATAATGCTTTTACAATCTATTTCCGTCCAATTAAATTCTAAGCTCTCACCTCCTAGCATTTCTAAGTTCTAACCTCCTAGCATCATCCAGGAAGACGGTATTTAACAGCTTCACTGCACAGTGCCCCCAATCACCGCACTCTTGGAACCTGTCTGTTTCCTGCCTCCTAATTGATTTACTGCCTGGGACAGAGAGATCCTTTCCTGGGCAGAAGAGGAAAGGAAACTGACGTCAGGCAGGTCAGACCAGAACCATAAAGAATGAGAATGAGAGCGAGGAGAGTAATTGTCCACACACTCCGCTGTAAAAACTGAAGCCACACAGAGAAGGGGAGGCTGCTAACATAAAAATGTTACATGGAAGCTGTCTTTTTGCTGCTTTCCCAGTGTAAGGGATAGGTATTGATTGGGAAATTTGGGGAATTCATCATCAATATTCTATAATAAGAAGTATTAGAGCCTGCTTTTAGAAGCTAGAAAGTAGCACGCACAAAGGATGAACTCTGCTATAAAGTTCATTTGTAAGAAATGCGCTTACACAGCAGGATGCGATCCATCACGAGGTAGACATCTATAGGAACATACTTTTTGATAAGGATAGCAAACCAGGAGGTAATAAATATCTACTCTGTCATGGGAGGACCATACAAGGTATAGCGTCTCAATTATGTTTGCAGATGGAAAGCACCTGGTTTTCGCTCCATAGATGACCATAATTAGGAGGAAGCATGTACATATATGGAATTAAACGAACAGGAAAAGGAATGGCTTAATGAAGGATTTAATTAAAACAAACAAAGGCGGGACTAGGGAGAAGAGGCGTAGCGATTGAGATTGTAAATTTGTTAGCCAATTAACTAATAAACAGGACTTTTTGCGCTCGTGATAGGGCATTAGAGCTTGTATATGTGAATTAGGCGATTGTATAAAAGCTGTAGGAGCTGCGGTGGCTCAAGTGGTTAAGACGCGGAACTGCAGGCTGTGGAAGGTCAGAAGTTCAGCAGTTCGAGACCCGAGTTGCCGCATGATGGAGTGAGCTCCCGTCTCTAGTTCCAGCTCCTGGCAACCTAGCAGTTCGAAAGCAAGAAATTGCAAGTAGATAAATAGGTACCCCTTCGGTGGGAAGGTAACAGCTTTCCGTGCGCCTTGGTGTGGCCACATGACCACGGAAATGTCTTCGGACAGCGCTAGCTCTTCAGCTTTGAAATGGAGATGAGCACCACAACCCTAGAGTCGGACTCGACTGGCTTTCAAGCAAGGGAACCTTTACCTTTACTTTTTATAAAAGCTGTATGTAACCACAGGACTATGAAGCCCTTGGCCTGAGTTTCTGAGCTCAGGCTGGGTTTCCCTGATGTGCACCAGATAAAGTAAAAGATCTTTATACTACCTCCACTTTGATTTCTGCCTGATTTCTTTATGGGGCAAAATTTATTGCCCTGGAGCAAAGGTTATTGTTTCTAACACCAGTACAAGCTGATGCACTGAGAGGCCAAAATGATTCATTTCATACACACAGCATTTAATAACTTCATATCAGAAATCTAAACTTTGGACAATATAATGAATGCTCTATTTCATTTCTAATGGCACCTATTGTCACTTCCCTCTTACCTTATGCCTTCCCAGATTACCCTAATTTTTCTCTCTTGATACTTTTTCTTCTTTGCCTGTCTAGATAATGGAATCAAAGTGCTGTTTTGTGTCAAGACATACAGAATTAAGGTGAACTTTCCTGGACCATCTGTAATGTGGACTGGGGTATTCTGGCACCAACTTTCACAAGGAACTTGCCAGTCAAGAATCAGGGTACAAGTGAAATGACAGTAAAGAGACCTTTATCTTCTTCCCACAACCAACTGTCCCTCTGCTGCCCCCATCAGTCCCCTCGCCTGAGGCTACAAACGCTTTCGTTTGCACCTAGCCCTCTGCTTTTATCCCTGCACTGCTCTCCTGTACTGTCTTGCAAACACAGAGCTGCATTTGCGCACATAGATGCAGGCTAAATGGCTTGCATTCATCTGCTACGATTTGTGTTTTAAACCAGACCCCACTACCACTGCCCCGTTGAAACAAGAAAGGTGATTGCCAGTGGTGAAACAGGGAAGAAGAAAGAGGAAGGTGACAAGTGAAGATATTCTGGCCATAAGTAAGTGCTCAGCCCACCCTGAAATTCTGGGGTAGCCAGAATGAACTCCAATGACAGGTTCCAGACGGGACTGAGGTTTCCCTCCTGCAAGGTCTGAAGAACCTGAAATAGAGTTGTTGGTAGCCTTAGGCTGCACACCTCTGTGTACTATGCTGGGAATGAATCCTATTGAACACCATGGGATTTACTTTTGGCCGGACCTGCATCCCTTGTCTATTGGGGTTACAATTCTGATGCCTAGCTAAGCATGGGTGGTGTGGTGCAGAGGGACTAGTTGTTGTCTTGGGTGCTGCGTAGTGCGACAATGAAATAATGTCATGCTATAACATGACCTGCCTGATCTTGTCAGAAGCTAAGCGGGGTCAGTCCTGGTTAGTATTTGGATGAGAAGCCATCAAGGAACTCCAGGTTTGCTACATGGAGTCCGGCAATGGCAGCCACCTCTGAGTGTCTCTTGTCTTGAAAACTCCACAGGGTTGCTATAAGTCAGCGGCGACTTGACCGCACTTTCCTCCTCCACCACAATATATGGACTGGATGGGCCTTTGGCCTGATCTAACATTGGCATCTCTTATGTTCTTATGTTCAAATCTACAACTGTAGCTCAGGATGGATGGTAACTAACAGTGGGTTCCAGAGGCTTAGCTGTGTTGCATTTGCTCCTATAAAATCCTCCAGATACTGCATCTCGGGTCCCATCTCCTTGAAGCAGTGGCTCTTGAACTTTTTGAAATGAGACCCAATTCTGAACTTAGTGCAATTGTTGGGACCCAGTTCTAGACCGTAGGTACTTTTCATGACAAACGTGCTATAGAAATCCATGCTACTTTCCATCTCCTCAACATAAAATTGGGGCGATGATCACAGCTGTTAACATAAAACAAGTTTGTATTTAATTTTTCAGGTTTAGCATTTATGGCATTACTTCCAGTGTGGTATAAGAGCAGCAGACTATAATCTAGAGGACCAGGTTTGATTCTCCACTCCTCCACATGAAGCCTGCTGGGTGACCTTGGGCCAGTCACAGTTCTCTCAGAACTCTCTCAGCCCCACCTGCCTCACAAGGAGAGAGGAAGGGACGGTGATTGTAAATTGCTTTGAGACTCCTTTAGGAACCTACTCTTCTTTTTCTTCTGTTGTACCACAGACTCTATTTCATGGCTATTCCGTGTATTATGAAGAAGCAAATCCAAATCTGCTATCAAGTTTCCTATCTCAGCTCACTCTGTTCCTCTTCTTGGCCCCGTGACCCACATGCGAGAGACCCATTCTGGGGTCCTGATCCCGATCCAGTTTGAGAACCACCACCTTCAAGCCATTAATTCATCAGGCATTCATCTTGACTGATGAATAGCTGTTTCAAGTCCTATGCAATAGATTTCATTTTCTCTCATCCACAGAATTTCACTCACATCTTGCACACTCACCCCTTCATCCCCCAAAGTGTTGTGTACCCTTCACAACTGTGCGTCATGGAGAAGTTTGGCAGGTGCAGTCTTTCCAGTCACAGAGATACACTCCGGCTAATGCAGGCTGCCAAAGGGTCAGAGCATGCTGCAAGGTCATGCTTTGGCAACTCTAGACACCTTCTTTTGCATGCACAACTTGTAGTGGTTACCTTCATCCCTCATGCTGCCTCTGATTTGTCAGGTTTTTGCATTGTTCCAATAACCTCTCAAACCTGCTTGACCTGAGGCAACAGCAGCTCAAAAGACCTCAGTTTACAATATTGGCACATGTATTTCTGTGACACAATGAGAAAGGCATAACTACATGGATATATTCTAAATGACAGGAAAATGTTCATTTTGAACTTCAGGATTCCAGATTGCTTGAGTGAGCCATGCTAGATTCCAGAGCCTATGGCAGCAGGTCATTCATGCTGTGTTTATACCTTATTACAAAGAATTACAAGGAGTCACGAACTGACCAGAAAAAAGGTTAGGCCTAATCTTCAATACTGTGAAAGTAAACGGGTGCAGGCCAGTACAGAGTATTGGTTACAAAGTAGTCAAAGTGATTCCTCCCAGTTTCTGCTTTGAGCCCCCAAGAATGAGAGTACTAGTCAGAAATTTAAGTTACCTTCATTCTTGATCTTGATTCTTTAATAGCAGTTTGATATGCAAGAATTAGCAGGTAAAGTCTGGCATGGAGATAAAACATTGTCATCCATTAATATGTGCATATCACACTGGTGCTAAATGGATAGCTACAGTGTCTTGTAGAGAACTTGGTCACCCTAGTTCCAAACATCCCCCGGCATGTCTCAGCTCAGCCTTCTTCCTACGGGCTATTTTGACCTGTGTCAGGGCAGCACGTCCTCTTCCCTTACCTTTGGCTGTGCTTAGCTTGCACGTGTAGACCCCACTGTCATCCTCGTGCACAGAGGTAAGCAGCAGCTTGCACTTGCGCCCGTCGAAATGCATCTTGCACTGGAGCAAGGCAGGCTGGAGCAGGCGCCCCCGCCACAGCCAGTCTACATCCACATCCGGCGGGCCAGACACCAGGCACTCGAAGGTAGCCGCATCCCCAGCCCCCACCACCACGTCCTGCAGGGGTGCCAGCACGGCCAGGGACTGGGTCTCAGGGTGCACTGGGGACGAGGAGGGAGGGAGGAGGAAACGGAAGAAGAGAGAAAGCATCTCTGAGCCATGGAACAAAACAAGGACAGGATGTAGGACACAGGCTGGGAACACATGCAGAGGGCACTGGTGGCTGAATAAGGTTGCCATGCTGGTCAGTATCTTGTTGACTGCTGAAGACAGCAAGAATGAAGGCTGAGGGGACGTCAGATTTCAATAAGGTCTGTTCTGTAATGGGATGAAAGGAATCAATATGGAAATGTAGAATCCTGGAAGTCTCCCTGGGTAGGCTGGAGGCTCAGCTAGCTAACTTCCAGCAAGAGATGTGTAGCTCTCTAGCAAAACTGATGTCACCTCCACCAGAACAGACCTTGGATGTTCAAGAAGGCAGGGGATAGGAAGCAGATGTAACTGGCAGTTCCTGTTTCCTCTCAAATTTCTCAAATGCCAAAGCCATATAGTAGGCTGAACGGGGCAAAAAAGAACTGAACAATTCATCCTTTAGCTCTAGAATCAGCACCAGGATGCAAGACCATAGAACAAATAAATTACACGGGAGACCCATGACTGACTCTCCTAGGAGGTCAACTTGCAATAAAAACAACAGCACTGGGGGGGAGGGATTTTTAATACCCCCCCATTTCTCTGACAAAAATCCCTCTTCCTCAACTGCTAGTAGCTGTCAGGGGGAGACAGGTGCAATGTGCCTTCACAGTGGGGATATCTTAATTTTCCATCAATATATTTCTCTCCACTCAACAGGAAACTAGTCCGTAAACGCTACACATTTCAAACTTAGCAAATCAGGGCCAATCATAGCGAATACTTCTATGTGTAGTCTTCTCTTCAGATCCCAAGAAAATATTCAGGTTGCTTTTCCCATCCTGCAAGAGCCGGGGATGGAAAGAACAGCTCCCGAAAGGAGCGACAAGTGACGGCGTGCCCCCCCACCCCCAGCGGGCCACTCCACACCCACGGCAACAGGAAACAAGTGATGCGGGGAAGGAAGGCAGCGGTATTCAGAAGCAAATTAAACTTGAATGAAAAAATGATGGGTGGCCAGGAACACAAGAGCAGGATATGGGAGTGAGAGGGGGCCACGGGAAAGGGGCAGACAGGGATCTGTGCTAGGAACAAACCACACAGCACTTTTACCAAACAAACAGACTTTATTTCACCTACAAAATAGGGGTTTGCTGTTGCCCAGCTCCTACGAGTCCCTCCCAGGGGGGCACAGTGGTGGCAGAAGGCTGTGTTCCTGGCCTCGTCCGTCAGAAATGCTGCACCGTCCAGCAGGCCCAAGTCTAGTGGGCTCTCTGCATTTCCCGTCCCATCCAACACTGGGGCTAGGTCCCTTCCCGAGAAGTTGTGCTGTCCAGAGACTTCTTGCAGGATGCTGAGCTATGTGGTCTTCTGCCCACAGAGGCCTCCTTGGACACAAGGGACCGCAAGGTCCGACCTAACCGGTCGCTTCTGAGACTACCTCAGTTGGCGTGTGGGACTGTAGTGAGGATGAGCTTGCAGAGAGGCTGGCAAGGGGGTGGCGGAGTCAGGGCTCTGCCCTGGGCTCCTGGAGACAGGAGTGTGCTACAGGGGCAGGGAGACATGGACACATGGAGAAAACAGAGAGCACCACACATTGGCAACAGTTCAGGCCAGACAGAAATGGATACTGGCAAAGGGACGGCACACTGTGGGCACCTGGAGGTGGCATGCCTGCTAACGGAGGCATGGTGCACCGTACGGCGATGACATGCCTTACGGCAGCTCCCCATGGGGACCCATTTTAATAGAGGCTTTAAGGAGATGCCACAAATGGGTTTGCCTTGCACAGCGAAAGGGAACCCAGAGCTCTTTCCCTGCCCAGGGCTTCCCTTCCCGCCCCAGCTGCAATCAGGCCCTGTGGGTCCAGCTGAGTCTCGGTGCTGGCCGTCCAGTGGGTGGGGGGCAGGAGCCAAGCCTTGTCGTGCTGGAAGCAGAGGCAACTGCCCAAGGTGCCTGGCTAGAGCGGCCCGGGGGCCAGCAGCACCTTAGCTCACTCTCCCTGTACAGACAAAAACACAGTCAGCAAGCAAAGGGTTAGTGTAGCATGGTGGACACCGAAGCAAAGCACAGACAAAATGTACACATGCCCAGTCTCCAACAAAGGGGGGTGCACAGCAACAACACATGGGGATAGCTATTGCCTAGCACGCGTGCGCGCACACACACACTTTGCCTGAGAGTGTGCCCTTGCTCCAAGGCCAACCAGCTCCACACTAAAACCAGACAGACCCCATCACAAGACGTGTTAGGCTCCTCTTCGCATCTGAGGGCCCAGCCAGAGGACACGGTAGAGTTCTATGTCTGAAGGTCCCAGCTTTTTCCAAACAGAATGATTAGGCACATAGGAGCTTAATTTGGATCCGGATCATGGTGCAAGGAGGACCGGGCGGGGGGAATTAAGCCTTCTTACATAGTTTCCCCCTTTTTTCGTGCAGGGGAAAGTGCGAATGCAGTCCCCTACTACCACAATTTATGCAGTCAACTTTCCCGCATTTGGGGGAGATCGCAGGTGTCAGCACACCCAGAATGCAGTGGATGAGTCTAACCCTGGAAAAAACGCCTTCATGATCAAGGTGCCTCCCCTGCCAGGTGAGTGAAACGACCCCAGTAAAGGGCTCTTTGTTCCATCGGGGCAATTAGGGTACCTGTATCGGTACTCATGCATATCCCCAATGGAGCAAATAGAGCCATTTTAGATCAGCAAAATGTTGGGGGGGGGGGGAAGGCTTAATACCCCCTTGTGCCACGGTCCCGATCCCAGCATATCAAGTGTGTGGGTGTGGGAGGGCGGATATGGACCTCCCAGTCGATCAGGCTTGGCCTTAAATAAGCATGCCTCTGAGGGACACTTTGCAATTCCGGTGAACTTCGAGGTCAGTGCAAGTACCTTGCATTTAAGCTCCTGAAAGACAGCTGTGATTATCTCTCTTTCCCCCTCAGGTGAAACAGTATTATTTATGTCTTTATTTAGATACACTATATCCCACTTTCCTGTCTATAAACACACTAAAGGGGGTTTCAATTCATAGAAATTCAATATTAAAAAAAAACACCGGTCGACAGCACAGAAACGAAAAGACACAATAATACCCATGGACAAAAGAACTCTTATCTGAAGGTCTTTTGGAATAGGTGAGTTTTTTAAGGACTTTAAATGTTTTAAGAAGTAGACAGAAGGCCTGTGACCCGCAGCTTAGGGGTGGCTGCCAAGAAGGCCTTCGCTGGGTTCCTGCCAGCTGCACAAGGAGGCGACACATGTGCCTGGGCAGACAGCAAGCCCTTGTCAATGGCGACAAGCAGGTGGGTTTAGTAGGGTTGCCAAGTGTGTTTTTCTTGGTGGCGGGGGGCTTCCAGCCGGCGTCCTGAGCACGCGCACTGCATGCACATCAGCCGGATATGACGTGCTGACGCCGGGCACGCTGGGGGCGGGGCCACAGCGTGCCCGGCGTCATCACATCACATCCGGCTGACGTGCACGCCGGGGTGGGGTTTCCCCCGGGGCCCGATTCCGCGGCGGCAGAAATCGGGCCTCCAAAGCGGGGGGAAATCCGCCCCCCGGGGGGACTTGGCAGCCCTAGGGTTTAGGGAAAGGACCAAAGGTGCATCCAGACCTGAGGTGAGCCAGTGCCACGTACTTTCAGTGTACAGATCTGGCTTCTCCTACTCAGCTCTCACTCACAGGCCCCAGCTACACATTACAGGCTTATACAGTTTTCACCAACCCAGACCTCCCCAATAACCTCTAGAGCAAACAGTGTACAACATGACACCTTTCACTAGAGGCTACCAGGGATACAGTGGCAGCCCCCCCCCCCACCAAACAAAGGAAAGAGCACATGTGGTTGCTCCCTTGCCCGATGATGCCAATGGTGCTTGGCAAGAGGTGTGGGGAGACACTGTGAGGCATCGAGTTCCTCTTGGGAATGAGCTAGAAGTACAGATACACGTCACTGGGATCAATGTCTTGGGTAGCAGTGAACGGAAATGAGGGGACTCTAAAACGCAGTAGAACAGGCTGTGCTGCTGAATGCTGACCAACACCCCCCCCCCCCCCCACATGTAGCTCACCACCCCATTGGTGTGGAAGCCAGGAAAAGTGTGGTGGCACTTGTGCAGGGATCATAATCCAGGGTATCCTTGCACACCCACACACACTGGGAATCCCTATAATCCCCCTCTCTCACACAGACGCTCTCCCCCAAATCCTACAGCCCAGGGCTGCCAGCTCTTCCGCCGTAGAAGGAAACCTCCCAGGAGCAGCCCCCTATGCCCACTGGTGCTTGGTAAGGCCAGTGGGCGGGGGGGCGGAGCAGGCATCATGCCCAGACTGGCCATTGTTCTGAGGGCCTGGTGGCACCCCCCCCCATGTCCCGGTCCCCTCCTCTCCTTCTGGGTTCCAGCTGGCAACCCTACGGCAGCTGCTGCTGCTTCTGTGCTAACCTGGACGTGACACAGAACGGGTGGAAGCACGTGGCAGCTGGCTCTCAGTTGTTAAGCAACCATCTGGAAGAGGCCTTTGGCGGATCTCGCCCTGGTCAGGAGAAAAAGGTAGCAGTGGCAACACACAGAAGAAGGCTCTTCATAACTCAAGTATATGACAGGAAACAGAGGGCGATTTCGCACTTGAGTTGCCTCGCGGTGCAGCCGCCGTTTGCCCCGACACAAACATGTTAATTTCACACCCGAGGCTGCGGGGCTGCATTTGACCCGCGGCTTCGCCCGATTTCCTCCACAGTTTCATCATCTTGGTTTTTAAGGATCACGAAACTGCGGAGGAAATCGGGCGAAGCCGCGGGTCAAATGCAGCCCCGCAGCCTCGGGTGTGAAATTAACATGTTTGTGTCGGGGCAAACGGCGGCTGCACCGCGAGGCAACTCAAGTGCGAAATCGCCCATAGTCTACTAGCTAAGGCGAATCCAGTCATTTATTTCTTTCCCTTGGCTTTTCATTAAAGCTGCCTCAGATGTTGCAGAGGGGAGCAAGAGGAGGAGAAGGAGATTGGATTTATACCCCGCCCTTCACTACCCAAAGGAGTCTCAGAGCGGCTTACAAACTCCTTTCCCTTCCCCTCCCCACAACAGACACCCAGTGAGGTGGGTGGGGCTGAGAGAACTCTGACACAAACTGCTCTTTTTCAAGGACAGCTGTGCCAGAGCTTGTGACGGACCCAAGGTCACATCAGCAGGTGCAAGTGGAGGAGTGGGGAATCAAACCCGGTTCTCCCAGATTAGAGTCCACAACCACGACACCAAGCAGCAGCATGGGGTATTCCTCCAGCCGTTTGCCTGCCATGTTCCTGACAGCTGCTTTTCTGCCTGCAGGGAGATCTATTCCCCCCAAGGCTGGAGGCCATTTTAATGGACAAATAGCTGGAGGGAATGGGTTAAGCGGGCTCTCACTCCCAATCTCAGCATTCAAGACTGCTTTTCATCAAACACACTCACTGTCAAGAGAAGAGACACAAAACTGTGTGTCCCATCATCTAGCTTTACCCTCATTCCCACTGGAATCTCAGTTTCACCAGACAGACCTAGGGATCTATCAGAGAATTCTGAGCCCCTCAACCAAACTACTCTTCCCACTTTGCAATATTATTTGAGGGAGACCGTGACTAGTGACGGACTAAGACATTTTGGTGCCTGAGGCAGAAAAAACAAATGGTACCCCGTGGGACTAAAACTGCAACAATAGATTAAACAATTGCTGCTTTCAGATGATATTCCAGATCTGCTACCAGAGGTGAACTACTTCACCCTGGCTATCAAGAAGGCCTCATACCAACTGGAGCTGTGAAGGCAGAACCCTTGGTTCAAATTTCACTTTACCCCAAACTCATGAGGAGGCTTTAGGCTATCCAGTGTCCCACAGCCTTAAATGCAAGATGGGGCTCATGTAAATATGGCCAAGATAATGTATGAGAGTGCTTTGAATATTCAAAATATTATATATCTGAGCTCTCTTGACCCTTCTAGCCTGCATGTCCTTCATCTCCTGTGCACCTGAATGGAGCCTTAGCCAAAGATTCCTTTGTTCAGACCCCTTGAGAACCTGAGATCCAGATGAAGCCCTGGACGGAGTCCCATAATCCAATTCCTAAGGCTGATCATGAAGAAGAGGCACAGTTCTGCCCAGGCGAACTGTTGTCATGTGTTCCAGAGGCAGAAGGCAGGAGAACGGTACACATAGGGAGAAAAAGCCACGGAGATGCAAGCAACTAATGCGCAAAAGGATGACAGCTTGGAAGAGGGGGAGGTGAGGACAAAAAGGAAGCATGCGCCCATGGGGAACGGATAGGAGGGAGGTGAGAAGGGAAGACGTGAGCATGCGAGCATGATATTCTGAGGTCACCCCACAGTAGGCAAGCATTAACCCCCATGCTCTGTCATAAGCAAAAGTACCTTGCACATCAAGCTTGGCCTCACACTGCTTGGTACCATACTCATTGATGGCCTTGCAGGCATAATAGCCAGCATCAGTGCACTCCACCATTCGGATATGCAGGCAAAAAGAGCCACCCTCCTCCTCCACGGCAGAAATGCGCCGCCCGTACTTGATCGGGTGCCGGTTCTTCAGCCTAGTGGACAAAAGAGAAGGACTAAGAGCTGGTAGGTCTTCTACCCTCACCATAACTCAAGATCTTCTTCTTATGCCCTTCTACTAGGGGCTGTCTCTTCTTACCTTCCTATTTCCATATCAGCCTGATGAAGAAACTACGTCCTCCATCTGTAGGGCTGGTCCTTCCCTTGCCCACCCCCAGATCCTGTGGTGCTGCTGCATACTTGTACAATACAGTCGAGGTATTCCAGCTCAAAAGATCAGAGACCCCACTTCTCTCCACTGCAACGCTCCACTATGCCATCCAAACCAGGCCACCTCTGATCTTATCGAACACGTTCTAGTTTGATATTTAAAGAATAAAGGCCCAGAGATTTTCTATTGCACCACGTATCTACAACTAACCATTTCCCACCTGGATCTGATGCCTGCTTGAAGGGAAGTATCACTGTTGCAAATCAGTCCACCAATTTTACTAGCAAGCAATTTTACTATCTTCCTGGTCTACACATTAACCAACACTGAGTCAACTATGGCAACCTGAAAACCAGAAAGCAAAATGGAACCAGCTTTCCTCCCTATTTACAGATGCTTCTCTGCCTGATCATTTGATGCTGATTTCACTCACCAGAGCCAACTGGGTTGATGGCTATTTACAACCCTGGAAAAGACGCCCCACCCATCCCAACCCTGTCAGGACAACGTGGCTGCTGTTGAGGTCATGCATGCCCACAGAGCCCACTCACCAGTGCACAAGGGGCTTAGGCTCCCCCCGCACCTGAATGCGGAAGACCACATCTTGTCCCTCCAGCACTGTCTGGTCACTCAGTGCCACCTGCAAGAGAAAGTATCAGGACCATGTCAACGGATAAGGGGAGCTAGAACCACAATTTCTTTAGGAAAGGCTGCAGGTGGATTCGAGTCCATTAGAGCAGCACAAGCAGCTGCAACCAAAGCAAAGTAAGCTCAGGGAGCTGCCTTATGATGAGCCAACAAATTGGTCTGTCAAGGTCACAGTATTGTCTACTCTGACTGGGAGCAGCTGTCCAGGGTCTCAGGCGGAGTTCTTTAACATCGCCTACTATTGGATCCTTTTAACAGGAGGTGCTGAGGATTGAGGCTAGGCCCTTCTGCTTGTAAAGCAGATCTTATTTATTATTAAATTCCTAACCTACCTTTCTGCTTTTATTGAGGCACCAAGGCAGCTAAATGGTAGATGCTTTACTGCTGAGCCGTCATGGCCTCCCTGTTTTGGAACCTGCTTCTCACTCCCAGTGCCTGAGCAAATGGTCAGTGGGATTCTGTAGCACCTGTCAAAAGCCCCATGCCCTTCCCTCCATTCAAGGAAGCACCAGCATAAAGTGTGGATCCTTATTCAGTAACTAGGAGTAAGGCCCATTGTGAGAATATAATGAGCTCTAGAAAGAGGCTCCAGGTGAGTGTCCTGGCTGTGGCTGGTGGGGAGGAGGAAGGAAGGGAAAGTGAAAAGAGAAAACAAAGGGAGGTGAGCCATGTTTATCTCCTTCTGCTTAGGTATAAGGCAGGGCTGTCTCAAGTCATTTTGCTGGGTAGTATGGAAGGAGAACCACATTTCAAGCGTCTGGAAAGCACTTCTGTAGTCAGTTAGAAGGTTACCAACTCTAAGTTGGGAAATACCTGTAGATTTGAGGGGTAGAGGCTAGGGAGGGCAGGGTTTGGGGTGGGGAGGGACCTCAGCAGGTTATAATGCCATAGAGTCCACTGCCCAAAGCAGCCATTTTCTCTAGGAAAACTGATCTTGGAGATCTCCAGGTGCTGCCTGGAGATTGGCAATACTAAAGGAAGTTCCATGTTTTTTGAAGGACTTCAGTGAGGTATAATACCATAGAGTTCACCCTCCATGGGGACTGATCTCTGTAGTCTGGAGATCAATTGTAATCCAGAGAGATGTCCAGGCCTTCCCTTTCTCCCAAATGCCTTTCAATTCCAAAGCAGCTTCCTGTTTAACACTTTAACTGATTAACAATTTAACTGACTTCCTGATAATGCCCCATGGCCTCTTGGGACTACCAACTTGAGAGTTGTAGTTCTAATTCCCTATGCTATGGTTGCAGTAAGGCTAGCTGAGAACTACAATTCTCAAGGTGTAATGCGCCAAAAGTGGGGGTGTAAGAATGGAGGAGCCAGCGGGATGGGCCAATAGGACACCAAGGCAGCTTCCCCAGTGGCCAATGGGAGAGTAGGTGAGTTGTCACCAACATGGCTTGCCTTTTATCTATATATCTAATTCCAACAGGGGGCAGGTTGTGTGGATACTTATTTCTGCCAACAGAGGGCTCACTCTCCCCCAAAAGCTTTTCCTACATAGTCAGTAGACTTCCTGTGTCTGCAGAAAAACCAAGAAATAAAAAAAATCCCTTCAGGGAGGGTTGAATTCCCCCAATACCATCTGAAGTGGCCTCTGCAGGGATCTAACTCCAGACATCAATGGCGAGAGAGAGAGAGAGTAGAACGTTCAGGGAGGCGGGGAGGCTTCTAATTGGCTCTGTCAATAAAAGGGTGGGGGAAGGGCCCTTTCCTGGCCTCTTTTGGCCTCGGAGGGAGGGAGGGAGCCTTGGGGCCTGGCCTGACAAGGGCTGCCAGTGCCAGCCTGGGGAATCCCTACAGGTTTTGAGGTAGACTCTAAGGAGGGCTGGGTTTGGGGAAGGGAGAGGCCTCAGGTGGGTATAATGCCAGAGTCCACCTTCCAAAGCAGCCATTTTCTCCAGGGAGACAGATCTCTGCTGTCTTGAGTTCAGTTGTAATTCTGGGGGGGTGTTCCTCCAGGCCCCACTTAGAGGTTGGCAATCCTAGGCCTGGCGGCAATTTAGGGTTGCCAGGTCCCCCCCTGGCCACTGGCAGGGTATTGTGGATAAGGTTGCCAGATCCAGGCTGGGAAACTCCTGGAGATTTGCGGGTGGAGCCTGGGGACTTCAGTGGGGTACAATGTCACAGAGTCCACCCTCCAAAGCATCCATTTTCTCCATGGGAAGTTATCTCTGTAGTCTGGAGATGAGCAGTAATTCCAGGCATCCCCAGGTCCCACCTGGAGGCTGGCATCCCTAGGCAGCACCCTCTGGGTGACTTGATACCACCTGATTTGCATGACTCAATTAGGCCCAGCTACTTGCTACTGTTCATCAGCAGCCACCCTATGAAAGCCGGTGCGGTGCATCAGTTAGAGCTTCAGATTAGGGTCTGTGAGACCCTTGCGGTGGAAGCTGACTGGGTGGTTTTGGACCAGTCACATACTTTCAGCCTAGCCAACCTCACAAGGTTGTTGTGCAGATAAAAAGGAGGAGAGAATAATGTAAACTGCTTTGGTCCCCACTGTGGAGAAAGACTGTAATTTTCCTAGGGGGAGGGGTGTGGAGACGGAAAGCTGAAGACAGAGAGGCAGATGAAGGTAGGTTGGCTGTTGGGTGGGAAGGAAATTGTGTTGCCAACTCCAGGTTGGGAAATTCCTGGATATTTGTGGGGTGGAGCCTGGGGAGGGTGGGATTTGAGGAGGGGAACTACAGATCAGTATAATGCCATAGACTTCACCCTCCAAACCATACATGGAGGAGAGAGAAAGAAAGAAGGGGGGGGCAGAAGGGAGAAAGAGTGTGAGAGAGGTAGAGGAAGACAGGAGGAAGCAAAGGTGTGAGGAATAGGATAACCATCCTGCAAGTTTCTTGCGGGTCTCCACTTGTATCTATCTATATCCATCCATCTTTTCAAGCTCTGTTCCATCCCCACATTATCCTCTCTAGTTTAACTGTCCCCCTCACCTCAAAGGATGGTGGAGCCTTGAAGTTGATGCCCACGTGTACAGGGCTGATCTCAGAGCGGGGTTGCACTCTCATGACACGTTGATGCCGAGGAGTGCCAGCTTCAGGGAACTCCTCCAAGGGGCTCAGGTACTCTTCATCCGATGTGACAGGACTGCTGAGCTCATGGGGAGGTGCCAGTCGACTGTGCGTCTCTGGGGGAGCTAGACAGACAGAAGAAGGAGGTGGTGAGGAGTTTTACATACACTGGATACAGCAGGGACTCTAGCACAAGGAGTAAAGAATACCAGGCAAATTTCCACTTAACAGGGGATGTTTCCATCCAGGTACTTTAAAGGACTACATGAGGACAGGCATAGAAAGACATTACAGAATATGGCTTCTCAGTTTGGTGCACTGTTTTCTGACAAAGCTTCTATCTTCTGTTGTTGTTTTTTTAAAAGGCACATGGAGAAGAGAGGTACTCCAGAGAATAATGACAAAAGACCATTGGAATATTCTGGTACCTTCCAAATGGCAAGAAGAAGAAAAATGACTAGAAGTCCTAAGGGTGATAGAAAGCCATTTAATCAAAGATGATTCACTGCTTATACAGTATTTAGAGGCCATATATGAAGAATCAAACTTTAACCCTTATCTCCTTTAAATATACACTGCTATTCTTCATGGCCATAGACATGCATTGGGATAGCCTGAAATTCTTCAAAACTCCCTGTACTGGTTAATGCCTTAACCCAGTCTGAGAACTTGAGTGACAGGTGATTCAAATGGAATTCTACAGCTGAGAGAGTCAGTTAAGACTGACAGTTAAGAATGACAGCTGAGAGAGAAGTGAGAACAGTTAAGCTGAGTAAGAGGATCAAGGAGGATCCTGAACTAGGGGAGTGGGATGAGTAGCCCTTTCCTTGGGGAAATAGCTCCTTGTAGAAGGGGGATGATGATCCTATCAAGTGGTTAAGAAGGAAAACTGGAACTTGTGTGAATGTTCCTGCATTCAAAAACTTTATTAATTTTAAAACAAAGAAGCTTATGCTTGTTTATTTAAGCAGTGACTGCCAGGAGATCTCTCTCCACAGTATTAAAGACCTCTCTGTATAACAAAACAGCTACTTGATTGTAACAATCTATTGTTTATATTTATACAAAGTTACCTCATTCCTGTTGCCTCTTTGCCCTTTAAGTCCTAAACCTGATACCTACCTGACCATTTCCCCCCAAAAGCAAAATAAAGCAGTTTGTTAGTTTTGAATTATCATCAGACAAAGCCAAAAGAAGGAGTTTGGTTGGTTCCTCAGTTCCCTAGGCTGGGTCAGCATATATCTATATACATTTCAACAACTGGGTGGGATGAACAGCAGAAGAAAGAAGAAAAGGGGCTGCCCAGCCAAGAAATGGATAAAAGGGGAGTGGGGAACCATTATGCTTCCCAACCAGAATATCTGGTAAGGGTCCTGAGACTAATAGTTCACTTTTTAAGGTTCTGTTGGACTGGAATCTAGCTGTTCATGTTTTAAGTTTTAGGAACATTATGGAATCTCTTGCCCCATAATTTTCCATGCATGTGATGCAGCCACAAGGAAGGGAAGCAATGTTGCTCCTGTAACATAAAGACTGGACCTAAGGGTGTATGGTTAGTGGCAATGGTTAGACTGACGGGCTTCATTCTCCACTGTCCCTTACAATGGATGCCAGTTCCCAGTTTCCTATCCCTAATTACAGCCAGCATTCCATCAGTTCTCTTCCTCCTTTCTTCTCTTGGCTGTTCCACTTTGCCTTATGTTGCTAGAACAAACATTATTGCACCAGTGAAATCATCGGTACATTTGCTGAATGGAGTCTAAAGGCTAATTTAGAAAAGAACTACACAATAAGAAATATTACATGGTATGACAGTCAAAGGCCCCTGCCACACGGCAGGGGAAAAAGCGGCACGATGCGTGGCATTTAAAAGCCGCGCCAACGTTGACACGGCGCGGCGGGATCCCACGGATCCCCCGGCCACGCCGCCTTTTCTCCCCGGCACGATCAGACGCCGGGGAGAAAACTCAGGTCGGATGCCAAGCCAGCCGAACCGCGCATGTCTGAGCATGCGCAGTTCGGCTCGGAGCCGGGGACGCGCCGCCGCATCCTTGCGCCGGCGATCATACACCCGGTTTGCGGCGCGGCAGGGAGATGAACCACCTCAGTAGGTGGTTCCTCCTTGAGCCGCATCATCGAGGGAATGGGCCAGTTCGGGGGCGGAAGCACCACGCTTCCCAGATGTTGTGGTGTGATCGCGCTGGTTTGATCCGCCCCCGAACTGTCCCGCTACTGGGCCAAATCCCCTCGTGTGAACGGGGTCAAAGAAGACTGGGACGGCAAAGGATGAGATGGTTAGACAGTGTCATCGATGCAACAAACATGAAACTGAGCAAACTTCAGAGGACGGTGGAAGACAGGAGGGCCTGGCGGGATCTTGTCCATGGGGTCGCAAAGAGTCGGACTCGACTGTGCGACTGAACAACAAAAATAACCCTTCTAATTCTATATCATTTCAGAATGCAGTTGGAAGATCACATACTTGAAGGCTCCCCCATAAAAAGTCTCCCTGCAATGCACGTAGAAAACCAGCATGTCAGAAAGAAGTCTCAGACTCTTTGTCAATGATCTGCTAGTTTTCCACAAGCAGGGAGAAGGTTTCTCCATAAAAATAGCAGACCATTCAAATATGGAACTCCCTCCCCCGGCTTCTGATGTGGTATACTACCACATATCATGTCACAATTACGAACGTGATGTTTGGCTTCATATCTGAGGCAGCAGTCCTTACATGGGGACTTTATCCGTTCAGCTTTTTGTAGGAAGGCTTTTGTCCAAAATTACCCCCATGTGACTATTGCCAGAGTCACCAGAGATAACACTTGTTTCTATTTGACATTATAACTTTGCCAGTTTTCTTGCAGGTAAGCAGGGAAGTGGTTTTGAATAGTTCCTTGTGCAAATCTGATATGATAAAGTCACCATGAGAGAGCTGCCATTTCAGGTAACATATAAACCATGCAAATCAATAATATCTGAAAGATTGATTTGACCAAATATCAGCTGAACAAATTGTATAGTTTGCATAATTGGTGTAATTTGTATAATGTATTGGTTATGGTGATGTGAGGACTCTGGTCATTGGAACCGTGAAATCTGATTTACAACAAATGAAAACCCTGGTTGAAATCTGATCTCCTCGTGTACCAGAAGGCAACACAGGGAACCAGCAGCAGCAGCACAGATCCCATCCTTTCCTTCTTGCTGTTTCAGAAGACAACAAATCCAATTTAGCTTCAACCCCTGCCAAGCCCAAAGAGCACTCATGGATACTGGGCATGGCAACACCAGCAAGGGGGAAAAGAAGGCTCAGGGCAGACTAGGGTAGCTCCAGGTTTGGATGCTGCCTCCACTATCTTATCACACTGGC